TTGTGTGTACATATGATTAAATCATCTGATAAATCATCATTACATGTTGCCTTACTCATGTTGGCATTTTGTATTTGAACAGCGAAATGGAATGAAAGAAAGGTTTTTAGCAGAACCCCCCGTAGGAAAAAGAGGACGGCGATCACTCTCTCTTTCATCTGCTCTGGAGATTTTCCTGTCGGCTAATCTGTTACATGTTCTCATAGTTCTCCTTAGGGGAGTTATCCTCCCTCAAGGAGGTCTGGGGATGGATATGCACCCTTATCATCCTGGAGGAGGAAAAGAGAAACATTGCCATAGTTCTATAGGAGCATATTGATATCATCTTGCTGCAAATACTGTATAATGGTCTTAATCAGTCATTTTTGTCCAGTAATAATATCTAAACATCCTTAAAACAAGATTACTTTAGAAGCAAAATAAAAGATAAGACTTTTATCTCCAGTTAATTTTTCATACCCCATGGGCAAATTGGATTTTATCCTTGTTTTAAGTATAAACATCACTAAAACCATATCTAACTTTGTTAGATTTATGCTTAAAAAAATTCAAGATAGATTTTTAAGAAATTTTGATTCTCAATTAAATTGATCTTATTTTAATAAGATTTACATTTTTTTTTCTTTTACTGGAAAAGAAGTCAACAATACTGCAGAAAAACATTTTTCTGCGCTGCATTTGCAAACTCAAAGTAGACTCTGAGACTTTGGGAAGAGGGTGCTGTCAGAGGTTTGGGATGAAGGGCTGATGGAAAATGTCGTTACGGTGCATGTTTTATTCATGTTTCTGCCAAGACACAGGAGGCATTTTAGAATTCCATTTTTAATGACTATTGATTGATTGCACTCAACAAGATGTAAGAAGAAGCTGTAGGGGTAAGAAAGCCATCGTGCACACACATTAAATACCTGTACATGTTTACATTTTTGATATATATAGTGTGTGTGTGTTCGTATGGGAGAGTGGGAGAAAGAGAGTACGTGCTTTTTGTACATAATAAAACATAATTTTGTGGCAAAAACATGGAAATAATTTGTCGTTTTTATCTTGTTGTTTGCTATATTTATTTGCTGTTGTAGGCTGTAAGGACCTTTGAAATACCTGAAATCATTCGGTGAAGTGATATGGACATGTATTGCGGTCAAAAGCTGCCTGTAACTACTTTAGCTGTGTGTTTCCCTGAAAAAAATAAATCTTAGAATGTTTGTCAGCCAGTAAAAACAGTAATATTGTGAAATATTATTACAATTTTAAATATCTGTTTTCTATTTTAACATAGTTTCAGATGTAATATATTCCTATGATGGCAAAGCTGAATTTACTCCAGGCTTCAAGGTCTCATGATCCATCAGAAATCATTTTATTATGCCGATTTTGTGTTCATGGAACATTTCTTGCTATTATCAGTGAAATCGTGATACTTTTTTTCAGGATTCTTTGATGAGATTCAAGTTCAAAAGAACAGCATTTATTTGAAATGTCTTGAAAATATATTAAAGTATTCACTGTCATTGATCTAATAGAAGTTAATTTCTTAAAAAAAATTAAATAAAAAATCCCAATCTTTTGAATGGTAGTGTATATATAAAAATAAGCAATATAAAATAAAATTAACAAGAAATATTTAGAATTTAGGAATTCACTAAAGTAAGAGAAGGACAAAACCAAATACTAAGCCATTCTAAAATTAAAATTTTCAATTTACCTTTCACTTGTTATGCTGATGATATAATTTGCAGTTCAAAATTTAGATTAGAAAAATGCAAATCTGAAGGATTATTACTCACAATTTTGGACCCACTGTATGTGCACACACTACACACTACACAAGATGCGGCCTATGTAATATTTACAGGTTAGCTTAACATGCAATAAACAGATGCACATTTTTACTCCAATGATGAAAATAAGGAGCCAGAAATAGAAAGAGAGTGAGTGAGAGAGTGTGAGAGAGAGAGAGAGCGGCATGTGAGAATGTGAGAGGTGTTGATATTGGATTCCATTACAGCTGTCAATTTCACACACACATACACACACAAACACAGAGCGTCTTGGGCTCTGCATACTCGGGGGGAGAAAGTGTGAGATGTCTTGCATCCTGGAGACCGGCACAAATTTAATACCGTGCTGAGCGTTGCTATAGTCCCAGAGATCCCACAATAATGCAACTGCTATTCCCAGTCCAGGCTTCCAAAATAAATGCGTTTATCGCAGTTCAGCCTCACACAGCGGTGGAGAAGTGCTGGAAACAGCGATGACAACAGCTGCTGCGACTCACAAACACAGCGACAGGAAGGCAGCAAACACAAAAGCAGACAGAGAGAAGCTCTACAGGAAAACAACAGGCCGACCAATTGGAGTGAGCAGAGCCGAAAAGCAATATCCTTTCTTTTACTTACACCTCTCTGCCATGAAACCAAGACAAAGAAACTAAGACAACCCGACAAAATAAACAGAGCTAAAGTGACTCACATTACCGAATCTCTCACTGTTGATTTTTTTTTTTTGTCTTCAGTATTTTAATATATGTAGGGCTTTAATATGTTGTCATTTTGTTAAACATGGGCCAGTGACAAAAAAGAAAAAGATAGATAGATAGATAGATAGAATATATTATAAATAAAACAACAATAATAATTGATTGAAAGCTCTAATTATATGATAAACATCCTGTGAGTTTATATATATATATGTGCGTTTCATCCCTCTGGGGTCCACTCTTTTTCATGCATCCTTGAAATGTGCTCTTGTCTTATTGGATCCATCCATCACAAGACACATTCATGATGAAAATATCTAAGACTGACACTTTGCAATCAGCTGAGAGCCCTTAAACTTCATGCTTCATGAGACTGTGGGCGGATGGGAGTCATAAAGACCTTAGCAAATCCTTTCCTGAGTTCACACTACAAGCTACATGTGGCATCTAAATATATTTACCACATGCTACTTTCGCGTTCAAACCACCTGCTCACAAAAATTCGCATTAGGTAATGCCGTTCTTGCATTTTTGAGGGATGAAATGCATCTTTGTCACAGACTCGCATATAATAATTTGCACCTGTATTACAAAACAAGGGGTCTCGGAGTCAGAGAGGGAGCGAACATTTCAGTGTTAATGATCATATTAATCTCTGACCTCACGGCTGGAGAAAAATGTATCTGAATTAATCAAATACATGCATAGTTAATTAAAAGAAAACAACAGAATTTTGACAAGTAGTGTGAAGAAATTAACACTAATGCAGTTGTGTTCAAAATTTCACATCTATCAAGGTTAAATGCATGTCTTCTTGTATACAAATCTGTTGTTTAATTGCCTTAAATAATCACTGTTAATTAAAGAATACATCCAACCTAACCTAAACACCAAGATTGTTAACGAATACGAAGATTGTATCATTTATCTGTGACTACAGCGAGCCTAAGTCACGTGTAAGGAGATCAGGTATCAGCTTCTTAAAGGAATCTTAAACAAAGCAGCTTACTTTTCTGCCGTTCTCATCTGAAACATCACTGATCCCTTAATGAAATGACATAAGCTCTGAAAATCCTCCCCTGCCCACAAATTCTGTCTGTTTATCAAATGACCAGAGGGACTGACCGCAGACGTAATATCTGATAAAGAGCCTAATCAGGATCCCCGTTCGAAGTCAAAATTATAAGAACCCTTGACTAGACACTGATAAGAGGCTAAACTTTCCCGCTCAGGCTTTAGGTACTCTTATTTCTTTCTTTCTTGGTTGTAGATGAAAGGAATAATTCACCCCAAAAAATGAACATTTCTTCATTTTGTTCCACACCCGCAGGACTTTATTTTCTTCTGTGGAGCACAAAAGGTGACTTTTTAAAAGAATATTCTGGCCAATCTTCAAGTGAATGAGAACTTGGACTATCAAGCTCCAAAATAATCGAAAAACAACCATAAAGTATGGTTGTTAAATATGTGTACTATATTCCAAGGCTTTTCTTGAGAGAAGTAACGATGTCTGATTCATGAACGATCCATGATTCCTGTGAGTCAGATTAATTGGTTGATCCGGATCACAAAATTGGTCATGATTTGGTCTCCGAAGTTAACAGCTCACTGGAGGGAAAAATTATCTGTGAATATTTACTTTAAATTTCAATCTGTCCATCACACAAATCTATCATATGATCTAGAATATTATTATATGGATTTTACATCCTTTTTGAAGCTTGAAAGCTCTGGACCGCATTTATTGTACTGTAATCGCACAGAAAAGTGCAACCAGTACAATATTCAATAGGGTGAGTAAATAAAACAGAAATACACTAGGGGAAAAAAATAGTGCATAGAAAAAGAATGGAAAAGCAGGGCAGTGTAATACAAAAACGTGTTCTGTGTAAGCACCTTTTAGAGTTGTTCTAAGGAGAGTAGTTCTTGCCCTAAGTTATTATTAATATACATTAAATATATGGTTAAATACAGTTTATAGCTGTTTAATACAAAATACAGCAATGTACAAATAAACAAGCTATTCCCTGCAAAACAAAGTCATTGCAAAGACATAAAAAGCGTTGAGCCATGCTTCATCCTCTGGGGTTTCACTGTAAAGGCCTGTCCCCAAGGTTCCGTCCACCAGAGACACAATAATCAGTCAGCGTGGGAAACGTCGCCTCGTTGCTAATTAGAACCGCTGTATTTTTAGAAATGCAGCAAACGCACGACAAAGGCACTCAATGCCATCCGCATTGTACGCATGGCAGAGCAAATTTCTACTTCGAGAATTCTTCCCATGCTGTCATTGCATGTTTTTATCCTCTCCCTCCCCGTCTGACTGAGAGGGGACATTTTTTATATTCTGATGGATTTGTGGAGAAGATGCTACATGAGCAGTTACCTACATATTTTACTGAACCTAAGCTTTCTTCCATACTGAGCTTAAAATATGTACTTAAATGCAGTAAAACTTTTTTTGTGATTTGTCTTATAAGTGTTAATGTGTGTTCAATCGTATTCCATCAACTTTCCTCACCTTTGATCTCCTTCTCATTCTTGAACCATCGGACATCAGCCGCAGGTTTGCTGCCAGAGGTCACACAGGTCAGTGTGATTTGATCTCCCTCCAACACAGGCTTGGTGAGTCCATTGATCTCTGGTTTCTTAGGCATGCCTAAATATTGCAGAAAAAAGTGAGAGAAAGAGAAAGAAAACGAGAAAGAGAAAGAGAAAGAGAAAGAAAACGAGAAAGCGAGAACGATGGCTTACTTTAGTAAGTTCAAAATATGAAAAGTAGGTAAGCGTGAATTTAATGGAAAAAGATTAGAAATATTTTATTTATCATCGTCTATGAACAACCCCAGTTCTTTTATTTTGCCTGGGGTTTTTTGTCGTTCATTGAGGTTAATTTAAATGTAGACCCTTTATTCAGTGGTTATTTTTATCATATTATTGCAGAGTTTAAAAACAGTACAGTGTCTTCAATAAAATAGAGCTTATAACTAGGGCTGTCAATCAATTTTAGATTTAAAATCAAATTAATTATATATGCTGATTATTTAATCAAACTGAAATGCACATATAATCAAATTAAATTAATTTCACATTTAATCTATACCTATCTATCTATCTATCTATGTAAAAGTCTTTAGTGTCACTGTTTGTTCAATTTAATGCATCTTTGCTTAATAAAAGTATTACTATTATTATTATTATTTTTTAATCTTACTGACCCCAAACTTTTGAACTGTATTGTATCAACATTTGCTTAAATAAAGATTAAAGATAATAATTAAAAATGAGTCTGTCATTGGCCAACAATCCATTTTTAAACTGAACTGTCAATCTGTCATAAGGCTCATTCACACAGTACGTAGTGTTGCATTCCCTCTCCAGTATTTAACTGATGGTTTATGTACACAAGAAAGCCCAAATGATAACATACAAAAGATTCATGTGACTTGACTCAAAGCAATGGTCATAACGTATCCTACCACCATCACCAAGACAGTGAACCTCAAATGTTTGTTTCCACGTTCAGAAGCAATCAGCATTTCAATCTTATGAAATATTTCAAGAACACAGGAAATTCTGTGGTCCACAAATGCATTACTGTGTCAGGAGCTTCCTCTCTGAAGTAGCGGGCGGAGACAAAGAAAAATCAATAGGGAACATTAGTCAGGAAAATTAGATATTGGGTTTGCTTTGACTGAAGATGAGATCAGACGTTTGGCATTCAGTTCACAGGCCTTATTGCTCCCCTGAGTAAGAGGCCTTAATCACATTCCTATAGAAATAAATCAAAGCAAAAACAACCACAATGTATTATGCATTAAAAAGCAACAGAGTAAATACATCAGTCATTCTACTGCAGCGTGGCCTGCAACCTCCACTGGATGACGTGCTGTTTCTGAATATTGTCCCAAGATCAAGAAAAACCTGAAGATGCCAAGCTGTCACTTCTGATTGATTCAGTTCTTGGTATATAATATACAAATGTAATACTCAAAATCACTTAGGGTCAAATTTACTCACACCACTTTGGTGTGACGTATTTCAATGTTTGTGCACATTTCCAATTGATTGCGGCAGCTGTAATTCATCAATTGATGGAGAACTGTGTTATTATCAACGTTTAGGCACACTTTCGAATGGTTTAAGAGTCGATTTAGATGGAACGATGCTGTCCAGTCAAAATTACATTATCCATTAAATATGTGAAAACATGCATAATATCCATAACAACACATGTAACAAAATGTGTAATTAATAAATAAGCATTGTGTATATTACTGCATATTTTTCCTAGATAATAATTACAACATGGAAATTAATTGTAACCATTCATGTATTCACAATGAGCAAAACATTAATGCAATGCAGGCTTGTTGACAGAGTGTACAACTGTAATGATTTTAATGGTGTACACCAACTAATTAAAATGAGACTAGCTAATTGGGCTCCTAATTATTGCAGAAATATGGCATTAAGCACTGTTTGTTGACTGTCACAGCTGACATTAACTCTGGTATGTTTGGGACTTGACAGAAAGTCTGTTTGACTTTTGATTGACAAAAGTAGTAAAAGTTGATAGAGGAAACGAATTAAACTTCTTTCTGTGCCATTTCTCAACACTGTTCTGTGATCATCTGTGTCTTTGTTGAAGGCGACCGGGTGAATCCATTTAATTAAATCCTGATCCAGGCCAAAGTTAGATTTGCAACGCCACTGAGGTAAAATTTTAATTATCTATCTACTTTCTGGAAATGACAGTTGTCTGTCTTCAAAAGAATCACAGTAAAAACAGTAATATTATGAAATATTATCACAATTAAAATAACTCTTTTCTACTTTAATATATTTTAAAAAGTAATTTATTCCTGTGACGGCAAAGCTGAATTTTCAGCATCATTACTCCAGTCTTCAGTGTCAAATGATAATTCAGAAATTATTCTAATATGATGATTTGATGATCAAGAAGCATTTCATAATATTAGCAATGTTAAGATATGTTGCTTTTTTATTTTTTTTATTTATTTTTGTGGAAATACTGGTCCATTTTTATTAGTGAATTAGTGATTAGTGAAGTGACGTGTGGCCAAGTATGGTGACTCATACTCTGAATTTGTGCTCTGCATTTAACCCATCCAAGTGCACACACACAGTAGTGAACACACACATACACACACACACACACACCCGGAGCAGGATTCAGGATTCTTTGATGGACAGAACATTTAAAAGAACAGCATTTATTTGAAATATAAAAATGTTGTAATATTATAAATATAAATATCTTTACTGTCATGTTTTATCAATTTGCATCCTTGCTGAATAAAAGTGTATTCTTTTAAAAATCTTTCTGATTTATGTGTGTGTATACAGTGCTTGAAGTGGAAAAAAAGAAGTGCCGGTACCCCCCCCCCCCATTAATTAATTAATTTATATTAAATAAATAAGTACTTTTTAATAATTCACAATGTATGTATAGTGCCACAATCAATCAATCAATAATTAAATAAAAGTTTTCAATACAAATTAGCACAAGTCAAGCTGCGATACCAAACAGGACCAGAGGGAGACGCCAAAGACCACTAAATCGCCTGCTTTTACTACTATACGGATCAATTCAGAATCGCTAAATCTCTGACCACATCCACCAGTTCACTTATTGAAAAATGCTAATTCATTCTCTGCCAGCAGGTGGCGCTTTTCACCAGAAATATAGCCATTTCCCCGTAACCGCAGTAAACAAAGCAGCTCAGCACCTGACTTTGAAACTTGCAGCGCTCATATTTAATCAATTAAATAGCATTTTGAAGTGTAAGCTATGCTAAATCTCTGACCACCGCATAATCAGCGTTCATTATAAAACACTCTTGCTTTTAAGCCAAATACCCGCTGAAAAGAATAATTTTACTGACGTCTGAACAAAAGTCACCATTCTCTCCGCAACCGCTGATGAAATCGGCTGTGTTTTCTCTGCATTAGCGCTGTTTTGAACTTACTGTTTGAATTTGTTTACTGGATCCTAGGACTTTCCAGGAGTTTACCGGTTTAAAATGATGTGATCGCAAAAGCCTGCTTTTTAAACAATTATTATCAAACAATTATATTAATTTAGTAACATTAATATATCTTAGTGTAGGCTATATCTTTACAGTTTTATAATTCATTATTTTCTTGTCGATCCACTCACTCACTTATTGAAAAATGCTAATTCATTCTCTGCCAGCAGGTGGCGCTTTTCACCAGAAATATAGCCATTTCCCCGTAACCGCAGTAAACAAAGCAGCTCAGCACCTGACTTTGAAACTTGCAGCGCTCATATTTAATCAATTAAATTGCCTTATAATATATAATAAGCTATATCTCATTATACATGTAAATATGCATTTACATGTATATTTAGCTTTTTTTCACTGGTGCACCACCTGAGTCTTCTTCTCCAGTTTCTACCAGTGATCATTGTTTCCTTCCCGCGGTACTACCTGCGCACATATCAGTAGCATCACTGGGCTGTAGGTTGCCAAGTTGAGGGGACAAATGGGTTGAAATTTGTATGCGTCGGTTTAGCTGATTTCAGTTTCTGCCTGTAGGTCGGTATACGGATCCATTCAGAATTGCTAAATCTCTGACCACCGCATAATCAGCGTTCATTATAAAACACTCTTGCTTTTAAGCCAAATACACGCTGAAAATAATAATTTTACTGACATCTGGACGTAAGTCACTATTCTCTCCGCAATCGCTGATGAAATCGGCCGTGTTTTCTCTGCATTAGCGCTGTTTTGAACTTACTGTTTGAATTTGTTTACTGGATCCTAGGACTTTCCAGGAGTTTACCGGTTTAAAATGATGTGATCGCAAAAGCCTGCTTCTTTTCATTTTAAGATATTATTTTTGTTATAAAGTACTGATTTAAATTAGCAATCAATAATTAATTATTATTCTACTACTCTGCGCGCCTCCCTTGACATGCTCTCGCGCCCCACAGACTCCGCTTGCATTCATTCACGTGATTGGTCGAGATGAGAGGTGATCCCGCCTGGGTAGTGTGATTTATATAGTGTCCTTTCTAATCATATAAGGAATCATATAATCACCCAGACCCTGACGCTTTTATGGGCTGTAGGTTGCCAAGTTGAGGGGACAAATGGGTGAAATTTGTATGCGTCGATCGTGTGAAAAAGATGCGTTTCATACAAGATCTGGCAACTGGACAACTTTGGAATTTGTTGTCGTGATTATTCATATGATGAGGTTTGGCCCATACAAATGACGGGAGTTTTACCGGAAATGAATGTAGCAAACATATAAAATATGCCCAGTGGGATTTTTTTTTTTTATAGAAAGATTAAAAATACGGGAAAATATTTAAAACGGGATGATAGCGGGATAGAATGGTAAAATACGGGAGAATCCCGGGAAAAACGGGAGGGTTGACA